CAAATGGGCTATTAATATAGTGACATTCACATCATACTCTGGTATTTGAAACCTGCAACGTACTCCACGAACGTGCCTCTTGTTGCCATTGAATGCTTTACACTCCTCAGAACTTGGAGTTGTAGTAGTTTGTGTAGGTGGGACTCTCTTCATACAAGCGTCTAGCGAGAAAAGATATGGCTTACATAATACGTTTACTGCCTGTGCCTTGACTCTACCTGTCTTGAATACAGAACTGTGTAGTGTGTATTAATCCATACTTTCAAATTGTTTTTATTGTCTTTATTCTTCTATTTGGTGCAAATTCATGTGAAGTAAATTCATCAAATCGAAATTATAATTTGGTGCATCAATGTTTATGCAGCAAGAATGATACAAATGATGTCAGTATGGTGCTCAGAATAATGTTATCTCTGTTATCTGGGTCGCTGTTTGAGTTTGCGTGTACTCCCGAATATTGTCTAAGCGAACTTTTACTTTAGCTCTAATTTTTGGTGCAGCGATTACAGTACTCAAGCAGAACGCGAATTTAGGAGCTATCGGGTAGAAATTATGGGAAGCTCCATAACCCTTCTATTTTTGATGTTATCTTAATTTCAGCTACTTATTTAAACTTCTTTACTTTGGAATTTAGACCGAAGAAATTCATTTTATTTATGGTTTTCAATTAAAAGAAGAACTGAAATTTAACTAACTCTTTCGACATTCATTTACAGTTTGAAGCAAGATTGGAACACAGATGCCGACCCATATCTGTCAGGAAAACAATACTCCACAAATTACAACATTTCCATCGTTAACGATAATAAACGAGAGAATATATTTTATCTCGAATTTAGAGTGCTGATATTACATCTAAAATAGGATTTAACTCGAAACTATCAATATAAAACCGATTGTAACGAATCGTATTAGTTTCTTACGCGTTCAGCACTTCAATGAGGGATCATAACACAGAAAGTTAATCGATGCGTCAGCTGTTGCCAGAATCTAATCAGTTCAGGGTGGGAGTACAAATTGCGTTTGACACATGATGGCGACAGGGCAGGTGCATGTGTTTCATGTTGCAGTCCAAGGTCCCAAGGTTACGAGGAGATAATTGCGATTAATCAGACAATTTAACGTACACATGTGTAAACAGAACATACCTGCAAACATCTCTAACTGCACGACTCTGAAGTTGAAATAACATTCGAATGAACATGTTGATACAGAAAATGGAAAGATGTAAGGAACATATCGTTTTTGATGACACTGAAGATGAATAAATTATAATTCTAATAAACATAATCGAAAGACAAACACAAGCCCTTTTATTTTCATGTACCGTCGCGTGGTAAACGCTGTTTCTCAACAGTCGTCGTTTGTTACACAAACGAATGTCCGATCATTCGCACGAACTTTTCAGATATTAACATCAATATACCACTTTAACGACTAGTTGTTCAACATAAGAATTTGAATTTCAAAATGAAGATGATTAAAATTTTTCCAATATTCGACTTTTCGGCTGTATTTTAAAAAATAAACAAGAAAGCAATGTTCTGAATTTCTTCAACAAAATAATTACTGAGGAGGATTAAAATTTAGGTTTAAACTCCTGTAATTGTACACTATTTGATCACAATAACCTTTTGCGATGAAAAGGATGAATCAAAATGGCAGCTTGCATTTGAAATCTTTAGCTTCGATATGTTGTGATGAATGTTCGGCTACTGTACATGTCTTACTGGAAAAATGTCAGACCAAATAATTAGGACATAATAAGATCACAGGAGTGTCTCGCTCCACCTCTAACAATCAGAAAAATGTAGTTCCTGCTTTTTAAAAGAAATATTTCTGAAATTATAAAAACATATTACGTTTTAACCGGAAAATTCTCCTTTTTAACTGCGCACTTGAAGCGACAGTAGCTGCCTAAGTTGTGTTGTTGTACCTGCCGGTGATTGCAGCTGACATGATTCCACACTATGGCCGAGCCCAGATAACAGACGATATTAACCTTCGCTCTCGTTATTTAACCCTCCAACTTTCATTGAATTAAAAGCGCAACTTCTATTAGAGAGAATTAAAAAATTAACACACATTATTTTAATATTTCATCGTACATTCTACAGGAAGTAATTCTGCGTGGTCAGAGATTACAGAGTGCGGAAGCTAATCTAAATTGTTATATTGCGCACGATTTCCTGCAAAACGACTCTACGGGCCTTATTTAAACATCTGAATGACTAAGCAGAACGGAAGTCTTTTGTTATACCCTCATATTGTGGTTTTCTCGCAGCTCAGCATTGCTAGTGTGTAAATTGCAGCTCCCCTGTTAACTGCCGAGTGTCTCTTCGCACCACATGTGCTAAGTAAGATCTTGGTGAATGCAATCTTTATTTTTCCACAGTCCAGCATCAACCCTTTCGCTAGAGGGAAGCATTAATTTCATTTGACTTGTATATTTGAAGTCTGACAGGCATTATCTGACTCTATAATACTTGTTGAATTATCCCATTTCAAGCACGAATATACTGTTTCGTTTGGAAATGCGATCAACTATGATTCTCCTGTTCATGAGAAGCCGTGCTGAAGTTGTGATCATTTTAGTCGAGTAACGTAATCATTACGTAACAATGTGAACGCGTTTGAGCAGAGTACAAGTAGAGCGAGCGATGCCTTAGATAGGAGAAAAGATCTGAAATTTTCTGCTGATATCAGCTGCCTTGCTTCAGCACAGCTATAAGTACTAGGGCCATGCGGCCTGCAATGTAGCTGTCTTGCCACTCACGAGGTAATATGAGGGTCACTCTTGATTAAATATAAAATTTTTTGGCTGTGAAAAAAGGATAAGGTGATACGTGTTCAGCTTATAAAGCTTTGTCAATGAATATTTCTCCTAAAACAGCGAATTTTGTGAATTTTGGGGGGCATTGTTAAAGAAAGGTTCGAAATGATTTAGGAGGTGAGAAGCAGAGTACAAGTAGAGCGGCGATGCCTTAGATAGGAGAAAAGATCTGAAATTTTCTGCTGATATCAGCTGCCTTGCATCAGCACAGCTATAAGTACTAGAGCCATGCGGCCTGCAATGTAGCTGACTTGCCACTCACGAGGTAATATGAGGGTCACTCTTGGTTAAATATCAAATTTATTGGCTGTGAAAAAAGGATATGATGATACGTGTTCAGTTTATAAAGCTTTATCAATGAATATTTCTCCTAAAACAGCGAATTTTGTAAATTTTGTGGGGGTATTGTTAAAGAAAGGTTTGAAATGATTTAGGAGGTGAGAAGCGGCTGTGATATTATTTCTGCAAGGCAATACATTTTTAAGATGTTTTCTTAATAATTCGTTTCCCTGACAGCCGCCATCATGAAGCTGCTTTTGGTTCTCGCTGTCACCCTGACAGCCACTCAAGCTGCAGGTAATATTATGCTATTAATTACTATTAAGCTATTCTTAATAACATAAAATCATTGAGAAACATTTGACATCGTGTGCGAAGGAATAAATTTAACGATTAATTATAGCTTGGTAGCAGACATCGTATTCGAACGAGCAAATGCTTAAAAAATTCATTTTGGCTCAGCTACATACATCGTTTCCGAAAGTATAAGGTTAAATGATTAATTTTCGTTCTGCGCTAGACAACTTATTCGAAAGTATAAGGTTAAATGATTAATTTTCGTTCGGTGGCTGACATCGTATTCGAAAGTATAAGGTTAAATGCCTAATTTTCACTCGACACCAGACAACTTATTCGAAAGTATAAGGTTAAATGATGAATTTTCGCTCGGTGGCTGACATCTTATTCGAAAGTATAAGGGTAAATGACTAATTTTCGCTCGGTGCCAGACATCGTGGACCCCAGCACGTGCACGGCCTTCCCCTGCCAGATCTTCAACGACGAGTTCGACTTCTTCGACTTCAGTGCCTGGGAGCACGAGATGACCATGGGCGGTGGAGGCGTAAGTTGCAATTAGAGACATTTAAGCAACGAGCTTGTGATATTAATTTAAATTCATGAGTTTGTTGTATTGGCTGAAGTGTCGAATCTTGAATAAAAAATAATTGTGAATAATAAATAATATTATATAATAGTAATATCATAATTTCGTGGACTTCTTATAGAATGAAGAGACCGACCGCTGCGTGAATAGGTTACGTCAGTACATTCGCTTAATTGTCAAGATTTCATAAGTAATGGTTTTATTACAGAACTGGGAATTCCAAGCCTATGTGAACAACCGCAGCGTCACCTACACTCATGACAGCACGCTCTTCATCAAACCTGTAAGTCAAATAGTTTGCCGCCAATTTGGTGGTGTACTTGTATAACATAATTTTTATTATTATCTGACATTGAAAAAATTAATTGCAATTAATTTTCCTTTCTAAATTCCGTGTCAGAGAGATGAATCATTTGACCAACAATTTAATGCGTGTTATTGTAAGAATTTTCATGCGTATGTATAGTCAGGAATATCAATCACTTAAGCGGAATGCTCCAATCGTCAGGCTTGATAATCAATAATTTTTCCTGCATTATTTATTTTTATTGAAGAATGAGGGTTACTAAAATAAATGCACTTTAGAAAATAAACAATTGAAGTAGATAAATTTTTCAACACAACTGTTTAAAAATAAGATAAGACTGCTCAAATGATTGCACATCGGTAAGGATACGAAATCAAACGATGTATGTATGTTTTTTATTTGGTTCATACATGAATAATTCGAAACAACGTTTGCTGACATGAAAATCGGACAGCAACTTGTTGCGGACTGGCAAGGAGAAGCTTTCCTGACGACGGGGACCTGGGACATGTGGGGCGCCCACGGCAGGAACGAGAAGTGCACCGGCAACGCTTTCTACGGCTGCTTCAGGGCCGGGGCTAACGGCCTCCTCAACCCCGTCATGAGCGGCAGGCTCAGGACTCTGCCTTTCTTCGGCGTCGCGTGAGTCGAAGAAGGACATTAGTTGTTTTGCAAGATGAATACAATTATTATTTTAGTCGCGTGAGTCGAAGAATGACATTAATTGTTTTGCAATATGAATGAAGTTATTTTTTATATAATATTGTTATATTATATAATTTTTTTTTGCCTGTATCTATCTATTGTATCCATTTTTCCAGATCTCTCATCATTAGAGCAATAATAATACAGGTATTCCTCAGCTTTAAGCTTCATATCGGTGCCGAGGCGATTCGTGACATCATGAATGACAGGAGTTTTGCTCATCTGTAAACTTCAACCCCATTCATTTTGCAAGAATTCACAATTATGTCTCGATTTTTCAAGAATGTATTAGTTTTCGGGATACTTTTTAGTGTTTTTGTTTGAAGCATCGTTTCAAAAAGTTAATCGAGATCTTTTCAAGATGTTTTTCAATCATTTACTGCCGATAAGTTATGTATCCTGCTCTCGTTTAAAACTCTTTTGATGAAGTATTTCTGAATCACAGAAGGAACTTTAATCAATTTTGTGATGCAGGTTCGGGCGTGTGGAAGTCCGTGCCAAGCTGCCCCGCGGTGACTGGCTGTGGCCTGGTGAGTGCACAGCTCAAACAGTGAACATTAAGTGCATTAAAGCTCAAAAAATGTAATTAAGTGCATTAAAGCACAAAAAGTGCACATTAAGTTCATTAGAGCTAAAAATATAATTAAGTTCATTGAAGCTCAAACAGTGCACATTTATTATGTGCATTAAAGCTCAAAAAACGTAATTAAGTGCATTAAAGCTCAAAAAATGTAATTAAGTGCATTAAAGCACAAAAAGTGCACATTAAGTTCATTAGAGCTAAAAATATAATTAAGTTCATTGAAGCTCAAACAGTGCACATTTATTATGTGCATTAAAGCTCAAAAAACGTAATTAAGTGCATTAAAGCTCAAAAAGTGCACATTAATTAATTTAATTGCTCCAATATCTGACTGAGATTGTATGACTCCTCAAATGAAGCTTACAAGTTCCAACTTATTTCAGCTATCTGGATGATGCCGAGGAATTTCGAATACGGTCTCTGGCCAGCGAGCGGAGAAATCGACATCGTCGAATCCCGAGGTAGGATATGTTATATACTAACTTGCGTGTTAGTAGCAGAAACTCATTGTTTATCAATTAAAAAAATTAATGTGACATATTACATTTCTTTATCACGAAAATTGTCGTTCGTATTCAAAACTTAGTGGTCGGCGTAATGTTCGTTACTAAGCATTACCTGGTCGATGTGTGCAGGTAACGACAACTACGGTAATCTTGGTAACGGTTTTGGTGGTACCACCCTGCACTGGGGCCCAGCCTGGAACTACAACATGTATGGCCTCACCCACTCAGAATAGTAAGTTCTTTACTTCAATTTAGAAGAAAATTTATCACGTTTTCTCATTCTTGTTTGGTCGAACAGCTAAATTTTTCGTTGAGATTTTTTTATATCGGAATGAGCATATATTAGCAGAATAATAATGCATGTACTGTACATCTAAATGAACGAAATGTCATGAACGGATAGATTCTATTGACGAGAGTTTCATTGAGGATAAAATTGACTATTGAATTGACAATTGAAAATTGAATTTCTTGACAATTGACAATTGAATTTCCTGACAATGAATTTGACAATTGAATTGAATCAAATTGAATGAATTTGAATTGACATTAATTTCTTGGGGTGCAGCTCCCCCGCCGACGGGTCTTCCTTCGCCGACAACTTCCACACATGGCGCTTGGACTGGACGCCCGACGGCATGACGTAAGCTTAAATAAAAATTAAAATTAATTAATTAAAATTATTAATAATTAATATCACTTATTGCCTTGAAACTTGCGACTATAAATGCAATTAAGTGTTGGACCTGTGAATGGTGGTCATAATGGAGGTATACACAATCACTGCATTTATTGAAATAATATGATATGAGGATGTAGTGTAGTAAAGTAATCCCAGCCCTCGTATGTCAGGGCCCATGGGTCAGGTTAAAGCCAAATTTGAATTTAAACTCATTTTTCAATCAAGCAGCAGTTTCCGAGATGGCATATTTAACAGTGATTTTTTGTATTGTTTCGAACATTTTGTATTCATCAGAAATGTGTAGGTGAGCTAAGTAATAATATTCTACGTTTGTAGTCTATTTTTGCTTATTGCGTTTGCAGTAGATTATAAAATAATAAAAATGCGTAAGATTTCGTGAAAAACGTGAAGTAATTTTTTAAGATGGCTCCAACGTAAAATTTGTAAAGAATTTCGCTTGTAGCAAAATTTTTTGAGAATTGTCCATCATTAGAGCAAGAATTTATTTAAATCAACGGTAAACCTCTGATGAAACATAAAAATTAAATGAATTAAGCAATGAGTATGTTGCTTTTGAATGGTACAAATTATGCCTAAATTAACAAATACTATAAATAATACTCGGTGGCCAGGTTCTACCTAGACGACGCGGTCATTTTGACGGTGGACCCCGGTACCAACTTCTGGGACTTCGGTGGCCTGGCATCCAGTGGCTTCGAGAACCCCTGGCGCTACGGCTCGAAAATGTCTCCCTTTGATAAGGAAGTAAGAGAATAGCGAGCAAAATTTAGAGCTTCTCGCGTACCCGGGTTAATTGGATGTATTTCTGAACTTTACTGCCTGATTGGTCAGGAGCAAGTGAATGTTATTGATGAAGCCCATGTCATCTCCGGTCTCCAAGTATTAGTTTAGGCATTCAGTTCATACGTAGTTTTTAATGTCGCACACGAATTGTATCGATAATTGAAAAAAATTGGAGGCTTTCAAATTACTCACAAGATGATAATAAATTAAATAAATAATTTCATGATATAATCCACAGTTCCACGTGATTCTCAACTTGGCTGTTGGAGGCACGAACGGCTTCTTCCCCGACGACGTCCCAAGCAGCCCTCCCAAGCCCTGGTCCAATGCTGAGGGCACCGCCCCCGCCTCCTTCTGGAATGCCGTAAGTTAGAGCATAAAGCCTATACCTTCAAAAAAATTAAGAGATCGTAAGTTCATCAGCCAATCATTGACGGCCTTCTAAGCAAAATTCACCAATCATAGACAAGAAAATAGAGCGTAAGTACTTACGTTCACTTAGCGAGTTTTGAAAATATAGCCCAATACTTTCAGGTCTGTGAGTTTGACTGAATCAATTCAGTCAATGAAATTGACTTAGAATTTACAATAAAACGAAATTCTCAGATTGAATTCTTGGTTGATTTGCAACTAAATTAATAAAGTGATCTCAATACCTACATAAATTTGATAATATTGATATTTATAATAATTGAATATTATTTGGACGCCATGAAACTTTGAAACTAGCATTCTTCCCACTAGAACTGTTTTAGAGCGGGCGCCGCGATCGTCATGAGCAGTTCTAAAAAAAACTTTGATTTTAACTTACAAAGAGCTAGGGCATTCTCTTACTCAGAAAAAGAACTTATTAGTAACAATGAATTATTTTTATTATTATTACTGATATTTTCTTATTATATATATATTATTTTATTACCAATTATTTATTATAATTTTTTTTTATCAAAACAATCAATTAAGTTTCATTTTATACTGAGTCTAGCTATAATCACTGATTTTTTGAAACATAAATGTCAATCCGCTTCCAAAACTCTTTAGCAGGAGTTTAACTCTCGTATTTCCGGCAATACCATATGTAGCAGAGAAACAATTGGTTGCCATGCGTATAACCTATTGAGTGCATCAGTAACTACAGCTGATTCTGTAATAAATAATCACATTCTTTAAACTCATTAGCTTGTCTCTTGTCACATATTTGACTACACAATGTGTTGCAGAGAAACGATTGGTTGCCTACGTGGCAGAACGGCGAGTCCACAATCAGCGAGTCCGCAGCCCTGCAGGTTGACTACGTCAGAGTCTGGAAACTTTCTTAACATTTTACTTGACAACGAAATTATGAAGGCCAAATTATTACATCATAATTGATTCACTTTTTCATAATATTTTATCGGAAATTTCCTGTAGAATTTATGTGTTTAATTGTTTTTAAAATTACTATTATACAGGAAATAACTCCTTTAGACTTCCAAATCAATAGCTATCCATTTATATTAATACCTATAATGAATTACTGGCCTGAATAAATTCTTCTGCATTTGATCATGGCCTGTTATTTGCTTCTCCTTTTGGTGCAAGGAGTAAAATTTAATGTATGATTATCTAAACTCAAATTGAGGATTATTTTTTTTGGTGAAGACATTAAGTTTGGCTGAACCCACACGAACTGATTTGTTTCGCTGAATTCGCTTTCGATATTTTTAACATCAGTAAAGAAACTTTGAAGTCAGGGAATTTAAATTGCTAAAAATATATATGATAAAATCTATCAGAATATAATACAAAAATTCACCGCCATTACAGTAAGTCAAAAAATATAACTCAGTACTCACTGCAGTGAGTGACAGAGAGCGCATTTTTTCGTCGACGAAAACGTGAAGTCACGGACGGACAGACGGACGGACGGAAGGACATGGCGAGCACAATAGCGCCTTTGTCCATAATTGAGAAAATACGCTAAAAAGAAAAGACGTCATCAATAATTCGAACAGGCCTTGAATCTTGTTTTAATCCCTCCAATTGGATGATTACATTGAGAATTCAAATTCGATTTACTTCATTGCGTGAAATTTATCGTTATGGTCTAATAATTATCCAAACCAACCTAATCAGGCATTGAAATCAGGCATTGAATTTGTCATTGAAATAGCATGTAAAAGTTTAGTTTATTTCACCAGTCACGGCAGGAATATTTTTTTTTTTTTGACGTCGCACTGGAGGATTTACCGCTTGCGGAAGCAAAATACAATGATCGGATTTTTCCTATTTGCATTTCTTCGTCACAAAACTGCAATGAATGGCGGATAATATATTCATTTTATTATTAAACTTATTTCAAACGATAATTGGGAGTAGTGTTCTACGACAGGAAATAAGATAGGAATAAATCCCTCTGATTGAATACAACTTTTATATCATATATTTTTGAACAAAATGGGAAAAACGATATAAAAAATGATTCATGAAGATCATGCTGAAACATCGAACAGTCGAATTTTTACCAAGAATTAGGGCCCGTAATTATAGATTTACTTGTAACAACCATTGTACTCCGAGAGATATTGCAACAGCGTAAATATAGTCCATGCACTGACACCTCGAGGGCATGGCGAGGCTACCGAGGATCTCCTGCGCAGGAGATAATAAAAGATTTTTTCGAGGCACCGATGATCACGAATTTTTTTCCCTCACATCTTCGCTCATTTCCCTTTCTTCTATGCCGGGATCCCGGCTACGAGAATAAACGCGCTATTTTTCCAGATCATGAGCCTGCCTCCAGGAAAAGCTATGAGGAGAGAGAAGACGAGACGTAGAAAACGGAGTGAGGGAAATTGCTTGCGAAGTTACGTGTAGCATAGAAAATAAATAAGATGTATGTTTTAGCATGAAATACAATGCACGATATGATATTAGACGGTTTGAAAAGAATTAAATTTACACATTTTTCTAATTCATTCTATAGTTTCTTGCTGCATTATCTACCAGAAATGTGAATGTGAAGCCAGAAAGTCATGGAATTTTTCGTTTGATCTATCTCATGATAGGAAGTGGTCGTTCGGAACTGAATAAATAAGATGTATGTTTTAGCATAAAATACAATGCACAATATGATATTAGACTGTTTGAAAAGAATTAAATTTAAATATATTTCTAATTCATTCTATAGTTTCTTGCTGCATTAACTACCAGGGATGTCAATGTGAAGCCAGAAAGTCATGGAATTTTTCGTTTGATCGATCTCACGATAGGAAGTGGTCGTTCGGAACTGAATAAATATGATTGATTTCTGGCAGCTCTGTGGGCTCTGGCTGGCTCAATGTCAACTTACAAGAATACTGACAAATGCTCTTAGGAACGTCATTCGATATTTGGTTCTATTCGTCACGTGTTTCGCTGTTCACCACGTCATGAAGTAAATGAGAAGCACCTGCACAATTGCGTTACAATTCAATGAATTCATGCAAATAATATCATGTCTTTCTACTGCGCTACAATCCAGAGTCATTGATTTCCTGTAAAATAACTGATAAAATCTTCTCCGTTCGTCAAATGTTTGATTTGTTCTCAAGATTGGCCAGTCAGCGTGTCGATCCTGGCAGAATTTCAGAACAAATTTCAAGCGGTCTCGCACTAAATTGCATGTAGGTCGTTGAAGTTATCAATAGTTGCGTTTAGTCTATGTGCCTACATATTTAAACTCAGCCTCGCAGGAGACGATTGCACTTCGATTAATATTCCTGCTCTTTGATGCCTCCCAATACAATAAGATACCAAAAATCACTTTCTCCGTTATGCAAATCTGCAATTAGGTGGCAGCGATAAAGATTAATCACTGACTGACTAATCGCTATCAACGGCATCAGCAGCGATGGGTACGTCTTATATATATGTATATTTGGTCTTTGATTTAACAAGTTTTTTTCTTATCTGAAGAATAATCGAGTAACGAATGAACTTTACTTACCAGGTAAAATTTAATTTTCCAGGTAGCGTTTGATAGCATCAGTTATTTTGTAATGAAATTAACATAGCGTAAAAACGTGAAACGAGACGTTTGAGTGAACATAAAACATAAAGTGAACATTGCGTCAACCATACATTTTAATCCGGAACCAGAACAACTATGATGACGTAAGCTTTAACAACGTAGCTCGTATCTCTGATTATATCCAATTCCCTAAAAACAATTCGGAGTACATCAGACGGATTGCCTAAGGAAGCCTTCAAAATTCAATTTTAAAACTAAAAGTCACTCAACTTTCGCAAAACAGGGTACGAAGGAATCGTGTACTCGACGAAACGTTAAGATTCTGAGATATTTTTGAATGGAATCGTCAGTTCTTGATTCAGTTAGAGAAGAATTTTGTTCGTATTTGCACGTTGATTTTGTCTGTGAAACAATATAAATTTGATCTACCGCGGACACCTAAGCTCGCTGTTCTTACATGCTAAAACTATTTGGTATTTTTATAGCGCGTCAGGTAGCAGAATATCTTGTTACTTAATTCAATTATGTAACATAGCATGCGTAGCGTTGGGACAAGAACTCCTAACAAATAGTTTTAAATTCAATAACCTACTATAGATACTATGTTTAAAGTAAGTTTTACGTATTAATAGATTCACGTTCCTGGCTCGACTCATCTCATCGCCTGTAATTATTCGAGCGTCGGCATCATCGCAATGCTCGTCCAGTGAAGGCCCAGCGTCCCTCGTTAACAATTAAGCGTTTCGTTCCTGCTCACGAAAAAAGTCCTTCAGCTCGCAAAGTACAAAGAACCTGAAATAAAAGTTTAATTGCAGCTTCCAAGCGATGCTGAGCCATTTTATAGCCACCTCTTTTGGGCCCCCGGCTCTGCATGGCCAGTTCAGGCCAAGCTTCTTTTGCGACCTCGTCTGCATTTGTTTACAAGCTTCTCAGCTCGAATTGCAAAGGGTTCTTTTTCCTTCAAAAATGGCGCAAGAACCTAAGGCATTTTTGTCGAGTTCTTCAACTTTGGCTTGGTCGTCTAACATTAATTTGAATTATATCAGATATGTTATCAGAACGAGTGACAAATCCTCCAAAATATAAGTGGAAAAATCGAATTATGAAAAATAATTACTTGAATGTAAAACTTAGTTTAGTTATTAATCCTAGTTTAGTGCAGTGTCCTTTTGATGTACCGTTGAAAATACACAGCATGGTTATTCGATATACAGATAAATAATTCATGGCTAAAACGCTAATCAAACATACCTACATATTTCAATTTCTGCTAATTTGTTAAATTTTTACTATTATACATGAACCCGATGGTTGATAATTTCAAGATTTCCTGTAGGGTAGATTTTTTTACGTAATTATATTGAGCCAACACTCATTTGAATGTGACTTCTAATTGCCTTAATTGACTACGTTTATTCCTCTATTCTGATCGATTGTTTCCCCTTAATTAGAACGTATTGAGATGAGTTCTGGTTGAGTGAACCGACTCTGTTTCTCGGTTATGTGAGGCTGGCGGTTTGTTTTATTCGCCTCATCGTCCGCAACAAAGCCGTCCAATAATGGACAACCGTCCGACCAGGCGAGACGAAGGCGTCCAAAGTGTCACGTCTCATCCTCTGGTTACCTGACTTCACCACAACCCAGTACGTCTGACTGACCTTTGCGATTTACTGATAGAGTGTGAGCGCTGATTGTAAAAATACAGAGCGGCAGAGGCCGCCGTGTTTTTCAGTCCCTGCAAAGTTGAACAGAAGCTCCTGAGTTAGAATGAAGTCAAAGCTTCTTGTAACGCCAGGATTTCCTAACGTGTTCGTGTCGAAATTGTTTGTCTACGCATTTATATAAAAAATATACAGATATTTGAAATGATAAGAGTCCACATAGAATTTTTATGGATTGCATTCCATTTAAATCATTCATACTAATAAATCAGCCGCTGGAGATTACGATATAATTAGAATTAGAAAATAGCAGAGTCATGAACTCAAACCTATTTTAATTATAGTCATGAACTCAAACCTTTTAATAAAACTCAAACCTATTTTAAAATTTCGAGGTCACTAAGACACTCCAACTCATCCTACATGATCGTATAGTATCCTGCAGGAGCAATGACAGTCGTCAATTGAAATAACTTTATTGTTCTCATCTTCGCGATAGTATAAGCAATCCCCATGCTTGTCAGAACTGAGCTTTACGAAGTCTCAAGTCTTTAATAAAAGAATAGAATAATATGTATCATAATTGAACTTCCGATTTGTTCTTCCGTAAACTAAAGTAATGTAAACTAAAGTAAAGTAAGTACTAATCAAGTAATACATACGAACAAATTATTACTATCAAATTATATTAATGAACATATTCCACTTTATACATACATTACAATACACGTAAAATACTTAACAATACCCTAAAATACTACATACCTCCGCTTGGGCTTCACACCGCGCAATACTCTATCAAAGCACACCAAACGGTAAATTATTTTAATTAAATTGCACAATAAATCCTAATCTTTGTCACTAACCTCATCTAGCCGAGTTAAGTCTTGGTT